AGGTGTTGCCGCCGCGCGCGGCGGCCGTGGCGACGGCCTCGCCGATCTGTTCCCCAAGGAGGTGGATAGCTCACTCCGTGCAGCGGCCGAGCAGTCAAGCACGCCCGACATTGGCTGGATCCTTGCCTGTCTTGCTGAGGTAATCACGCGTGCTCCCAGAGTCGCTGAGGTTGCCGAGACGGAGCTGATCGACTTTGAAAAGCGTCGCACCATCTGGGCTATCATCGACGGTGCCGTGCGTGTGCGTCCACCGTGCAGCAAACCAGAGCTCGTAGATCTAGCCGGCGCGCGGCTGAAATTGATGCAGAGCGCTCTGACGCGGGTGTCGTGGGATCGCCGTGGCTTCCGTGAGGATGCAGCCAACGAAATGCGCAACGCGCCGCCAATCCGTGCGGATGCGAGTTTGCGACCTAGTAGCTCTTCCAAGGCTCTCTCGGGTCTGTCGAAGCAGCAGCAGGAGAAGCTTCGTCGTGACCGCGTCGCACTCGAGATGCTTGAATCCGCTCGGGGGGGTCCATCCGTTTCGTCACGCATGTCGAGCATGCCGGCGTCAGGCAGCCACACGAGCGTCAATTCGCAGACAAGCCAGCTGGCGAGCAACGGTGTTGGCGGAGGTGGCGTTCAGTTTGCCGCCGGTGTCAACAGCAGTGGTGTGACCGCACCCGCTGCGTCATCGCAGCCAGACAAGGCGACCATCCGTGCACGTCGCATGACCGCACTCTTCAAGGGCGCTGTGCGGCCACTGATTACCTCCGACAAGTCGGATGCGCCGGCCAAGTCAGTCAACGAGCTGATGCGGTCAACGCCGCTGCAAAAGCCTTCCATCGTAGCGGGTCTCGGTGGAGCCACGGTTTCCTTGTGGGCAAACTCGCAGAGGTCATTTGTGTTCCATCTCACCTCGCAGGAGGGAGCCAAGTACCTGCTGCAAGCTCCCAATGCCACCGAGCTCGATGACTGGCTGGGTCAGATCGAGCGTACGTCCAGGGAGCGCGCCCCTCGCAAACGAACGGGCGATCTTGCCCGTCCGGGCGCTCCGGTACGATCCAAGTCAGGTGGCCCCGCTCCCGTTTACGGACGTCCACTTGCCGAAGTGATTGAGCGCGAAGGTCAGGCGGTGCCAATCGCCCTGGAGCGCATGTTTGCGGAGATCGAGGCCCGTGGACTCCGCGAGCAGGGCATCTATCGCATCTCGGGATCCAAGAATGTGCTCGAGAGCCTCTGTCGTGCGTGGGACAACCTGCCATCAGAGGCCATCGACCTCTCGACGGGCGAATTCAGCGACATCCATACCATCACTGGCGCTGTCAAGACGTGGCTGCGAGAGCTGCCGGAACCCATCATCACGTTCGATTCGTACGATGCCATCATTGCCACGAATGCTATGGAGGGCGACGAGCGGCTCTATGCCATGCGAGACATCATCTGGAGCATGCCCAAGGCCCACTTTGACATGCTGCGGCGCACTGCCGAACATCTCGCTCGGGTCGTAGAGGAGGGCGAGTACAACAAGATGCTTGCGCACAATGTGGCGCTGGTGTTCGGAACTTCGCTGCTCAATCCTCCTCCGGGCCCGTCGAGCGTAGCTGTCGCCTTTGGCAATCTCGGTAAGGCTGCCAACGTGGTCAAGACGATCGTCACTATGCACGAGTGGCTGTTTGAGCCAGAACCAGAGCCAGAACCAGAACCAGAGCCAGAGCCAGAGCCGGAGCCGGAGGCAGACACAGGGGCAGAGCCAGAACTTGGGTCTGCCGAGGTCGGACCCGATTCCGTATTGGGCGAGGGATCGCTTGGGAGCAGTGGCGTTGAGCCAGAGACCGGCGATGCCGAAACTGCAGACGAAGCAGTTGCTGCAGAACATGATGAAGTTGGCGAGCTGCAAGCCCAGCCACGCCGTAATGGCCGTGCTAGGCCGCTGACAATTGTCGGTCTCGATAGCCTCGGAAGTGCCGCTGACGGCCTTGCTATGCTGCGCACGCCGAGCAGCGACAGCGACTCTGGCACACCCGTCGACGGGCCGAGTAGTATCCCAGGTACTACGCTTTTCGAGACGCCCCGCAAGATGGCTCCTGCGACAGAGCAACGGGCTTTGGCCTCAAACCCCACCTCGGCAGCTTCTGTATCTTCAACTTCTACCACGCCAGTGATGAAGGCTGTGGATCAGAGTGAGATTGGGTCGTCTGACACCTGGCCGCCAACGATCACGATTTCAGGTGACAACGAACACGACACGGATACAGAGTCGGGCGACAACGACGGAGACGAGCTTGACAACAGCTCGCACGAGATCGACGCTGCGCTGAGCAAGCTGACGGCCAGCGAAGAAGTCGCCGTCACTGGAGACACGGATGCTGTGGATAGCGACCGGGTCGAGGTCGACCAGAGCGACCTTTTCGCCACATCGAAGCCGGTCGGAACACCACGTGCAGGACTGAGTCCAGCTGCCCGGGCCAACCGACACGCAAGCATTGCCACGGCTTCGGCGCTCGGTCAGGCGATACCGCGACCGAACAAGGCGAGAAGCGGATATCGGGACAGCGTCTTCTCATCGTACTCGATCTATGCTGACTCTCTGGACATGCAGCTGGAGAGCCAGTCTTCGGCCACGAGCATGGTCAAACGAAACTCTGCCATGCTCTTGAGTCCCACCCTGTCGTCGCCCGTAGAGGTCGAGTCAGCCAACTCAGACGACCACGCAGGTGCGTCGGGCTTGTCGGACGCCGAGGTTTCGGCCGTCTCCCCGAAGGACGCCTAGGATGGAAGTCAAGAGAGACAGCCGCATCGCGGCTCATCCATTTACTTGGCTACGCCCGGTCAGTGATATCGCGAACAGATTAAGCCTTCGTCACATCCACCGCAACTTCTCGCATCTCGCCTATCTAGCCATGCTTCGTTCTTACTGCATCACCTCGTCACAGCACCACTGTGACATTATGATAGCTAGCTAGCTGCTTTCGCACTTCACGTTCATGCATATACCCACCAGATGGCGTCACTGACTCCGTTTTGGTCCGAATACAGGCCGATTCATATCACCAGTTTAACCTTTCGTCCGTGTTCCGACGTTGCCCAGCCAGCAAATCTCATGATGCCGATCAGCGATGTGGTTGAATGCAGAGATGAATAAAAATACAGAAAGGGAAGAGAGACAAGAATGGATGGATATAATGAGTACCAATGCGACGCGGGCAGCTTTTAAAGGTCTAGATGTCGTCGTCATCTTGTCCGTCATCGACCGAGAATCTGGGCGGCCGATGTTGGTTCGGTGCTGGATCGTTGGAGGACTGGCGGTGTTGTGCGTGGGTGGAATGATAGCCCGAGTCGGAAACGTTGGACTTGCGAGGGGCCTGTGGAGTAAGGCGAGCGTCGGCGGGAGATGAAGAGACCGCGTCGTAGCTCGAGGAGACGTCCATGTGTGCCATCGAGGACATCGACTCGAACTCTCGACTCGGAGTCTGGAGATTGAGATCGTGGTCGAAGTACGGGTCTGGTCGAGATGCTGCCGCTGCTGCTGCTGAAGAGGATGATGAAGAACCAGCGGCCACGTGGACGGCATGCTGAATCTGGGCATAGAAGCGATCTGCCTGTTCCGTGGCGACTTTGGTCTCCTTTTCGACGTCCGAAGGCGGCCGGAGAGACTTGAGATGGGAAAAGGCGGTGGAGAAAAACGGGCGAAGTTCTGCGATCTCGTGTGCCGAGATGTTGGTCATCTGGAGGTGAGTGGGGTTGATCATGCCAACACCGGCCAGAATCTTGCTCTGTCGTGCCTCTCGGATGTCTTTGAGGAGTGCGCGGACGCGGTTAGAGTTGGGAACGTCGTCCGAGGCGTGTGTGAGCACCGATGACGAGACACCGAGCCAGTATGTTGGCAAGGGGGAGAACCCGGCATTGGTCGTCTCCTGCTTGAGTGTCTCGAGGAGCGAGTCTGCCGTCATCCAGCTCGGGGGGACCACGATGGCCTTTTTGCGTCGCTTGAGATACACGGCCACCCACAAGGGCACGGTTGCGGGCGCGGGCGGTCGAAACGGTCCATAGAGTCCCGACAAGAGTCGCACACGATCGATCGATACCAGTGGAATGATTGTGATCGCTGTCGTGTCTAGTGATGTCGAGGGTAGTTCTAGATCGGCAACACTGAGACCTCTTGTGCCGAGGGACGATGTCGAGAGCGACGACGAAGCGAGCCCGGACATGATGATGTTTCAAGGGCCGGTAGTGCCGATCGAGGCAGCAGGCTTGGATGGTGTGTCGAGGCGGGCTCCGGAATGAAAGCACAGCTTCGGGGTGAAATGAGCGGGGAACCGCTGGATTGTGCTGGCGTTGATACAATAATGTGCAGAGGTCCACGGCTGTCGAGAGCACTACGGTCGTCCAGCACACTGCTGGGGAGATGGGAGATGGGAGATGGATGCCACTAATCACAGTGCTGGTCGGGTATGCGCAAGTAAGCCTGCCTAGTGCCGATGACGAAGGCAGCAGCACGCTCGAGAAGGCGATTGGCAGCTGTGCGGAGCTCAAGTGTTGATCTCGATGCAACACGAGCACCCGATGTTTCGTCAGTCAGGCGAGTTTCTGCGACAACTAACTTGCCGTGTGACAATTGAAACACGCGCGCTACTCATCAACGCGACGAAAGCTACGGAATCATGAATTCTGTGGTCTAACAAACCAAGAATACATTTCTGCTCAGTCATCTCACTCCGTCACTCTCTGGTGTACCTGCCCAGACTTTGGCAAATAATGGTGTGGTGGGCTTTTGCAACTGGTAAGCTGGTGTGCTAGATGTGCCAGGACGAAAGGGACCAATTGGTGCTGGACTGGTATGATGTTGATATGGCGGCCGTCAGAAGTGGGCGGCGGTGGATACACCATCATGAAACAGATTCGCAATGGCCGGAATCTGTCATTCTCAGGTACATCGTGCTCATTGAAAAAAAAGTTGAAAAGTAATCCTCTCGTTAATTGGCGGTCATTGTTGTTAGACCTGGCAAAAAGGGAAAAAAAGGCGACGGCGGGACTCGAACCCGCAGCCTTAGAGTCACCAAACCATAGAAGCTCTATGCGCTAGCCATTGCGCCACGACGCCCTTTGTAAATACGCACGTGATGTATTGCATACATAGCGCATTTTTGGTATGCTGCCATGTTTTTGGTTGCAAGTTCAGTAATTCTCTCTATTTTATCTTCTAAAAGACACTCAACCCACGCCCACCTCGAGAAATGCCAAACAGTGCACAACACGAGCAGATTGGTCACAGAGAGAGTGCGCGTGCCTACAAAGTCAGCAATAGACATGCATGTTCGACTGGATATACGACTGGATATAGATAGAGCTCGTCTTGACCAGAATTTTGCCTCGTCGGTGCTTAGCCACGACCGAACCAGCCTCCAAGCCAGCCCTTTTTCTTGGCAGCGGCCTCGGCCTCAAGTCTGGCCTCCTCCTCCTCGGCAAGCGCATTGCCTGGGTCATAGGCGATGCTGACGTCGCCAGCCGCCTCCTCGTCGTCCAGCTCTGCCTGCTGCTCCAGCTCGTCCTCTTCGTCATCCTGGAACGTCTCCGGCTCTTGCTGAGAAGCCTCGTCTAGCTCCATCGCCGCCACTGTGTCCTCCTTCTTGTCACTGGGAACTGCCACCTTCTTGACCGCTCCGGCGGCCTTGGCAGGCGGTGCAGCGGCGGGAGACACAGCTTGAGCGACGCCCTTCTTGGTGGCAACAAGGGAAGTCTGGTTGCCGGAAGCGGCAGGCTGCTTCTCGAGCTCAGCCTCAGCCTCGGCGCGGACGTCGTTCGGAATCTGTCGGGCTTCGTTGAGGCTGATGGGGTCGAAGTCGACGTGCTTTCGCGCCATGTCGAGCAGCGCCTGTCCAGCTCGCGACTCGGACATGGCTGGCATGGCCGCTTTCTTGGCCTTCGCCTTACCCTTGCCCTTCTGTGCCGCCCGTTCGGCCAGGTACATGCCCTTCTGGATCTGGCGCTTCTGAGCAACCAGTACAGCGTCTGAGTGGTCAAAGACGCTCTCACCGCCCTCGGCCGCCTTGACGCGCGGTGGGAAGTCCGAGTCCTCCTCGTCGACGTCTTCGGCAAGATCGGCGGCCTGACGTGCCTGCCGAATGTAGAGCTGTGCTCGGGTCAGAAGCAGGACTGCCTCGGCGTGTGCGCCGGACAAAGCAAAGGCGCGAGCGAGGTGGCGCAATACCTCGCTGCGGAACCATGCGGCCTTGGCCTCGACCAGGCTGGAGACGTCTGGCTCCGACTCGACCAGTCCGATCGAGCCCATAGCCACCAGACTCGTCTCGGCGGCATCGAGCAATTTGGCAAGCGACGGCACTGCACGAGCTCCTCGCCGCTTGGACTTGTCGGCTGCAATGCGGCGAGCTCGGTTCTCACGCGCAAGTGCCTGTCGCGTTCGCAGCGCACGGGTACCGCTGCGGCCAGGCCTGTGGGTGGTCTTGATCGCCTTCTTGTTGTTCTTCTTGGACTTGGTACCAGGCTGCTTGGGACGAGCAGCCCGAGTAGCCCGGGCTGCCTTCTTGGCCTCAATCTTCTTGGCCCGGCTCTTCTTGCTGAGTCTGGAAGCCGAGGACGATGATGAAGCAGACTTCTTGACGCCCTTGCCAAAGTGAGCCTCAACGTTGACCATGGCGCGCTTCTCTCGGCGTTCGGCGCGACGCTCGACGTCGGCCACCAGCCGCAGATTTCGCCATACGCGCAGCGCGAGCAGACGATAAAAGATGAAATCATGTGCAGTCTGCAGATCCTTGCTCGCAGTCTCGTAGCGGGCCGAGTGGCTCTTTGAGAGCGCCTCGGCGTTGTCGTCGACCAGCCTGCGAGCCACGTCCTCGGCGTCCGTGAGGGCGCTCAGGGCACGGTCGAAGGGATCAAGCTCGGTGCGACCGCCCTTACCCAGCCGGGCAGTGGCAGTGGAGGCGGAGCCCGACGCCTCACCCTGGGCAGAGGCCGCAGTTGCCGAAACAGCCGAGGCCGACTCGCGCTTCTTGGCCTTGCGTTGAGCGTGCGACAGGCGTACGCGCTTCTCTTTACTCTGATGCTGGGATGCTGACTTTTTGAGCTGGGCCTCCTGGGCTTCCTGACCCAGCGCCTCGATCTGTACTGATTCGCGCAGAACAGCCTCTTCGGCCTGGGCATGCACGACGGTGTCCAGCAACTCTGGGTTTCGGACGTGAATCTGCTGACCGTGCCAGCTGAGCGAAACATCGTGCTTTGCCGTCTCGCCGCCTTTTGCCTTGGCGGCAGCGAGTTCATCGACGAGATTGCTGTAGCCTGGGCACAGCTGGTCGCAGAGCTCCGAAGTTGCAGTGGCACGGGCAACCTTGTCCATGTCCTGATCAGCGTTGCCGAGCTGGTAGGCCGAGTAGCGCATCTGAGCTTCTCCAGCGTCGACAAAGCTGTTGGCGAGCGCCTCACCACGGCTGGTCTTGCTGTTTTGGGCAATGGCGTTGAGCAGAGATCGGGCAACCGAGAGGGTCTGAAGAGCGCGCTCCCACTGCGATCGGTCAAATGCAGTGGTGGCTCGGATGATGGACTGGTAGGCGACAGCCTCGGCACGCGTGTAGACGTCGAAGCGGGGCGATAGGGCCTTGACCATCTCTGCCAGCGCCTGAGACCACTGTTCTGCGCGACGCAGACGAGAGATGCCACGCTTGCGTACGGCAGGGTCGCTGTCGTTGTCAAAGGCTTCGTTGCGGAGCTCCTGAGAATAAGCCCAGGCTCGCTCAGCCTCAAAGAGGAGAAGCAGGGCGGGTCGTTCATTCTCGACCTTGCTGACGTCGAGCGTCTTGGGCGTGAAGACGTTGGCGTGGCCACGGGCAGCCTCACTCTGAGCAGTCGCGGTGGGCTGGCCGGCCTTTTTGGACTTCTTGGAGCGAGCCTGCTTCTTGGCTGCCTTGGACTTGCGTGGTTCAGCAGGTCGACTGTCGTCGGCATGGGTAACTTTGAGAAGCTCGCGGAGTCGGTGGACCTTGCTCGCGCAGAATCGGCGGTAGCGTGCAAAGTCCTGCTGACGCATGCCGTGTTCATTTCGAGCCTCGCTGATGATCTGGAGAAGGGGCAGCGAGATGGGCGCGCCCGTCTGGGCGGCCTGAGAGATCTCGTCCTTCTTGGACAGGTCTACTTCCATGGTTGCAAGAGACCCGGTATGAAAACGGACACGTCAAAGTCGGGAGTGATGGTGGAGATGAAGGATACAGATACCAGCGTCCGGTACTGTATTGGGCCAGTGAAACTGCGCTCCAGCTCTGAGCTGACGTTGGATTGCGTTGCTCGTCTGACCGCGTGCGGGGGACGCAACACTTTGCTTCCTGCGGATCCGAAACCCGCAACATGCACCCTCATGTCGCGATCTGACACTCAGGGGTGTACCAGAACCTAGGCATCTAACAACAACGTCGTGGTTTCAAATGTCTCGGTCGGAAAGGCCCATCAGAAGGACGTTGGGGTGCAAGAATTTCGGATGGGCCGTCCACGTTCCTTCGGCATGCACGTCTGAGCACGCCCCGCACTACTCGAGCGAACGTGTTGCCGTCTTTCACCCTTTGCTTTGGCGCTCTGCGTCATGAACCAATGTGCTGTACTGTGTTCCACTGTACTGTAGTAATTCACGCAGTGCATGCACGCTTCTTCTGTCGGATCAGCCGGACCTGTCACAGTACGCACCTCGTGTTGCTTTCCACGCTGCCCTGCATGGATCCTACTGTATCTTGCCTTTGGGTCTACCGGCTACTAAGCTACAGACGTAGGCTCCCGCAGCCATACGCGTGAGGCTGAACTGCGCACACCTGCACAGTGATGCCGCCGTATACTGTACAGTACTTGTAGCGACCACAGCCTTGAGTGTCGTGTGTCCGTGCGTCGCCGGGAAGAAAGGCAAAGGCGCAAAGCTGAGCAGAGTTAAAAAGTTGCCACCTGCAACGTCAGTGATACAGTAGCTAGCTCAGCACTACGGTATACGCTAGTTGACTTGCAGTCGAAAAGCCAGGACGGACTCAGACGCCTTCTGCTCGCTGTTGTCCCCCGCACACCGACGGCGTTGAAAGAGTCTTGTTTCCCATCTGCCGCACTACTTTATCGCTCACACCAGACCCTGAAGCCGGATCTCCCGCAGCCTCAGCCGTCCTGCTGCTGTCGGCTCCCCTGCCACGCTGCACAACCCAAGTACTGTACCCTCTTCTGTCTGATCTTCGCTCGAGTGCGACAGTCTGATGAAAGCCCTCGCTAGGCTAGGCATTTGTGCTTCACAGCACCAGGCGCGAAGCTGGTGTGAGTAGGGAGGTGATGCACTGTACAGAAGCTGGTATAGCTATCCACAGCTCGGACATCTGCCTCGCTAGCCGGTGTCCTGAGCTTGGCTGCTCGTGACAGTACGGCACTGTACTGTACTACACCGATAATATGATTCTTGTCGTCTCTGATCCAATGTCGCTTGCCGAAACGGCCTCCGTGCAAGCCTATTTGGCAGCCCGGTCACCTCCAACGCTTTGCTTCTGAAAACTGGTCAAAGCGTTGGGGTTACAAGTAAAGTACTACAGTAAAGTACTTTCTCGCGGCTCCGCTGTCATGTTCGGCCTCTCCACGTCTTGCCAGACTGCCAGTCCCATCTGCCCAGCCGTCACAGTGTACTCTACTGCTTTCTGCATCTCTTCCGCTCGAGGCTGCCCTTTCTGCCTTCTTCTGGCGAGTGCCTAAGAAGAAGCTTCTTGTCGTCTTCTTCCGAGCCCGTGGGACTCGGTGTCGTGAATTGAGAGAATTGCACACGCCGCACCGTGCTACTGTACAGTACTGTACACGCATCCACATTGATACTCACCGGCGAAGCAAGCTCCTTTGCATTTTCAGTCGTACCTTCCCAAGTGCTCCCAGACCCGTCAGCCTCACTCCTCTGTACGCTCGCGGCTACCTGTACGGTACTGTACCCGACGGTCCTGACCTCTTCCTTAAGAGCATTCGAGTCCAATGGTGGCTCACAGTACTTTCTTCCTTTCTCTCCTCCTCCTCCTCATCATCATCACCACATCTTCCTTCCCTTCCCCAATATTCGACTCCCTTCAACCGGACTCTTAGTGCCGAGCTCAA